CAGGAAGAAGTTAGTGAGTTTGTGTTAATATTTAAAAGTACTAAACTTCTATACACTGCCTAATAGAGTGAAGTTTTACCTTATCCAGTGAGTTCTTATTGAATAATACTTCAACGTTATGGTCTACCCTTTTTATTCCATGGGAATTCTAGGAACCCTGACTGCCTGACATGAACAACTTGAGAAATGGTTAAAAGGTAATAAGATGATGGTCTGTTTTGAAATGCAATTCAATGAGTGTGTTCAAACTCATAGGTTTGAATAAGCCAAGCATTTTTTTTTCATTTAACTTGCAAAAAGAAGCCAGATTACAGAATGCCATCAAGTGATGACTTCATAAAGTTGATATATTTTCCCCATCTGTTTACTGATCCAAAAGTTAAGAATTAAAGCAAATCTGGTACCTTTTCCTTCGGTCGCTGCTTTTTTTCAGCAGATTGTAGAGAGGTGGACCTGCGAACTCATGACACCAGTCAAATTGCAAGCACCAACAGCGGCAGTATTACCTGGTTTTATGGTTAGTAAATTCAATTTCAGAATTCGGAGGCATAAAAACAGAACCAATCATGATGTTAATAGCACATACATAAAAGACAGTTTAGCCTGTACATAATAGAGCTCCATAGAAGTATCAAAATAACACTAGTTGGTCGAAGAACTATATTTTCATTCTATCCAGCTTAGTTTTGCATAGCTTACCTCTTTAACATCTTCTATATCTTTTGAACTTTGGAACGAGATGGATATACTGCCCTTTATCCACCATATGTCTTATCACTTCATGAGCTTTGGACAGCTTTCCAGCATTTTTCAAGTAACTGACTAAAGTACTATACACCATAAAATTTGGATTACAACCCCTCAATTCCATTTCTTTTACCATCATGCACGCCTCATCAAATTTCTCAGCCATACAGAGCCCACGGATCATGGAGTTATAAGTAAACACATTTGGCAACTGCCCATTGACGATCATGTCAGTAAACAGTTCTTGAGCTTTATCAAGTTCCCCAGCCACAACGTATCCTGTTATCATAACAGTGTAACACACAACATCAGGCATACAACCTTGCCTAATCATCTCTTCAAAGAAATATTTGCATGCATCCAAATTACCGGCCCGACTTAGCCCATCAATCAAAGTGGTAAAATGGAGAATGCTTGGTTCATAACCAACTTCTTTCATGTGGTTTAGAAGGTTGACTGCTGCTAGTGGTTTGTCTCCTTTACCAAGAACATGAAGAAGGATGTTAAATGTGTACAAATCGGGTGAAAAGCCATTCCGACCCATTTCATCTAATAATCTATGAAACTGATCCAGCTTTCCCAGCCTATATTTCGAGCATAGCAGTATGTTATAAGTTAAAATATCAGGTATATGACCTTCAACCAACATTTGTTGATACACCCACTCGATTAACCTGTACTGATTTACACCCAGAAGGGAATGCAAAATTGCATTAAATGAATGCCTGAATGGTCTATAATTGAATGTCTTTGACTTAATAAACCTCTCTACTACTTTTCTAGCCAAACCTGCCTCTCCACAAGTACATATCAACAAATTAAATGTCCTAGCAGTTGTAGGGTATCCTTTCTCAATCATCTCATCTACTAATCTCCACATAGCCTTGAATTCGTCAGACTCAGCAAAAATCTTCATTATCAGATGGTATGAATTTGCTGTATGTCGGTAATTTTCTTGTTGACCAGACCATACAAAAAACTTGTACCCCAGCTTCGCACACCTATTTTTATTAGCATAATTTATTATTTTCAAGATACCTAGAAGAACTTCTCTCACAAGCAGGCTTGAAACTGTAATATGTGAATTTTCTAAAGCTGCTTTTGCATCAAATCCTGGACCATCTTGTTGAAGAATTTCAAGAATCATACTAGCCTCATTTCTCACTTTCTCAATAAAATTGTGCCTACTTGAAAAATTTTGTTGGGAATGGCCTTCATAGAAACCGTTGACTCCAAAAAAGTCAACATTATCTTTCATATTATTATTGGAGTTCATACTCTTCCAGCTCTCATTCAAGTAATCCTCGATTCTTCCAAAACCATTTCCAGTGCTGTCAGTGTTAGATTGTTGATTACATAAAAACCGTGAAAAGCTGCTAAAATATGAGAATCTTTGAATAACTCTTTGACCAAAGAGAGCTACAGAATACATGCTAGTCTCTTGAATATATGATAACAAGAATCGATAGTGAGCAAGCCATCACTTTCTCTGCATACAAGAAAGAAAAAACATACATGAAATCAGTTAAAATAAATCATACATATTATCTTTATAGATTCCACTAGATATTAATAACTCAAATAAAATTCTTTAATTACCACTACACAACCTAGCCCATTTATGTTCACTTAGCATTTCATTCTCATTATTCACAAGCATTGAATTTTTCAGAAATCAAATATAAGAATTAGTAACATCATTTTATGTTTATCGTGATGCTTATTGAACAATTACAAATTCATGTTCCACTACTATTTCAATAAAAAATCATTTCATTATTCAACTGGGCAAGAATAAAGACATAAAAATATCCTTCTCGGAGAAAATGCAAAAGTCCTATGAGTCTCTTTTAAGATTAGCACATGAATTGCTTATTTGAGAAAAGATATTTCATATGCATCAGTGGCTATACCTTAGGATTATATCTTTGCTTCCTCATGTACTCATACAAGATTATAAGTGATCACATCAGGTAGAATATGCACATAGATATAGGACAAAAACGAAAAGAAAAATGTGGCATGAGATAGAGAAGGTAGATGATTTGATCATGTCTTATTCTGACATGGACACCAAATGCAGGTGAACACAACATGACTACTGAATGTGTTAAGGGAAAATTAGGTCGACCAATAAAATCATATTAAGGAAAGATGCCCAAAAGGTTCTATAATCTCTTGTAATTCTTAAGAACTTAGTGAAGAACATAACACAAACATAATAACCATATAGGAAGGAGCCTGCACTGAAATCACTTAACTCAGAGGAAGCACAAAAACTATTTCGCACCTAGATCAATGCTTTAATGATCTCCTTTAGTTTTCAATGTTTCTGTTCGACTTAAGTTCTCTTTAAGAAGCTGTGGCATACCTTGGTCCTTTATTTAGGTTAAATTACCTTTTCTCCATCAAAGCAGTAACAATAACTCTGCTTCAACCCCATCTAGTTGGAGTCTACTATACGCACCCATCATTTTTCATTAACCATCTCACTCACTATAGGTATTTTTCATTCCAACACTTCAAATTTTGTCGTTGAGGAATAACGAAGGTTCTCCACCAACAAGGATTCTTTAAATTTCATCCTTATCCCTACTCTGTCATATAATCTCTCTCCAAACTCAAACATAGAACCTAATGTAAGTGTACCAAGTTGTGCAACACAACCTAGGCAAGCAAAAGTATTCTATCCTTACCAAATTGCTCCAAGTCTACCTTAGAATCTATTAAGATCTTCAAATCACATCTCTCCAAACAGAGACAAAATGCAAAAAAATCCCTGCACCCCCATACCAACAAAAGACCTAAAATACTTAAAGCTGAAACCTTTATCCCTTTAGCTACCTAGACAACAAATATGTACGGTCTAGATATACATATATATCCACACTAATGTGCAAATGCAGGAAAAAATACAGATCTTTGTAATAAGCTCGATACCAAAGGAATCATTGAAATAACTCAGAAAATTGTGGAAAGCAAGGGAAAAACCTACAGATTGAAAGAAATATAGGGCTATTAAGGAGGGAGTCATTAACGGAACGAGCGAGGGAGAATAGACCGGCGGTTACCGGCGCCGGAAGCATCGGCCGGCGGAAGAAGTGAAGTAGCAGTGGTGATTGCTTGGGGGCTCCAAAGGCTGCGCAGAGTGAAGAGCGAAAGGGAGCAAAGGTTATAATGATGCTTTCTAAGTGTTATTTAAATGCTGAAAATAGTTTTGTAAAATTTAAATAGATATATTTTTAATATTTTTCCTCAAATAAAATTCTCTACTTAGTTGGGTAATTTGGCTATCATTTTTTCACATACTATTGATGATATATACTCTTATATTTTCTTTTTATATATATTGAATGAATTCAATGTAAATAAAATAATATTCCATACTATTTACTATAACATTTATGTATAATTTTTTTTCTAAAAAAATTTCATTATAATTTCACTTATTTTAGTTACCTAACTTTATAAATCTCATTCATTTTGTAATATCAATTTCAATATTGTAAAAGATATCAAGAAAGAAAAAGCAATAATTTTGTATTATTTATCCTATTATTATACTAGTAGTAACTTTTGTGGTAAATTTGTTCTTTGTTTGAGATTCTTAGAATTTATATTTATTTTTTACCATACTTATTATTATTATTATGAGAAATGAAAAAGAAAATGGACATAACATACTTATTATTATTATTATTATTATGAGAAATGAAAAAGAAAATGGAAATACAGTTGCAATTATTTTTAATGAAAAGTGAATATCATTATGTTACACAGTGTTAATTCATAATTTTTTTTTAATTAATTCCATCTTTTCAGATCAATGCCTATGTCTTTTGGCTTACTTCCCATCGATAAATCCTTTCAGAAAAATAATTGGACATAAACAAAATATGTATTTGCATAAATTTTAAATTATAATTGAGAAAAAAACACAAATATATCCGGGAGGTGTTCATATAGACCGATGAAAGAATTCAGTCAATTAGAATAAACAATATCAAACACAGATGATATAGTAATAAACAAAGTAGAATTCATGATAAATTACACCAAAATACAATGTTGATACAATAAATCAAATTGATGGAGATCTCAAGGATCTTACTTAAATCTCCAAAGATAAATATTAAGAATTATTAATACAAAAATCACACACAACAATCAAAGCCGGTCATATTAGGAAGCATAAAAGGAAATGGAAAACCCCAAAGGTGGTGGAAAATCATCGAAAAAGAATGGATTGACTACTAGTAATAGGTTGGTGGTGGGGGAGATGGTGATGGGGGTGGAGGTGAAGCATAGGTGGGAGGAACCTCGTACTTCTCAGGTGGCGGCGGTGAAGCATAGGTGACAGGTTCCTCGTACTTCACAGGTGGCGGCGGGGAGGCATAGGTTGGTGTTTCTTTGTAGTATGGTGGTGGTGGAGGTGAGTAGTATGTAGGTGATTGTTCATAGGTCTTTGGAGGAGGTGGAGAAGATTTATAGGAAGGTGTAGATTCTTGGTAGTATGGTGGAGGTGGAGAATTGTAATAAGTTGGTGGTTTCTCGTAGTATTTTGGTGGAGGTGGAGGTGACTTGTAGTAAACTGGTGACTTGTAATATTTTGTTGGTGAAGGTGACTTGTAGTATTTAGATGAAGTGGGTGATTTGTAATATTTTGTTGGAGATGGTGATTTGTAGTGATAGTTTGTTGATGGAGTAGGTGACTTGTAGTACTTTGCGGGCGATGGGGACTTGTAGTAATACTTAGAAGGAACGGGTGATTTGTAATATTTTGTTGGAGATGGTGATTTGTAGTAATAGTTTGTTGATGGAGTAGGTGACTTGTAGTACTTTGTTGGAGATGGGGACTTGTAGTACTTTGCAGGCGATGGAGACTTGTAGTAATACTTAGAAGGAGCAGGTGATTTGTAATAATGCTTTGAAGGAGTTGGAAACTTGTAGTAATACTTTGTTGTAATAGGTGACTTGTAGTAGTGCTTTGAAGGAACATATGACTTGTAATACTTGGTTACAATGGGTGACTTGTAGTAATAATGTTTTGAAGGAACATGTGACTTGTAATATTTTGCTGGTGATGGCGATTTGTAATAAGTGTGCTTTGAAGGTGCTGGTGATTTATAGTAATAGTGTGATAGATAAGGCTTCTTGTAATAAGGAGTGGGCATATGATAGTTGGATGGAGATGGTGATTTGTAGTACTTGTTAGAGTTGTGAGAAGGTGAGGGTGAAGTATACTCATAAGAGTAATCAGCAACAACAGTGCTGGCTACTAAGCAAATTGCCAAAGCAACAGTTAGAAAAGACCATTGCCCCAACTTCCCTAAGCTTTCCATTTTGATTTGTAACAAATTATGCTTAGAGAAGTGAAGGATAGAACTAAAGAATTGTGTTGCATAGTTGAATAGGGAGCTCTGGTTTTTATAGAGCAAAATGACACCCTTTTCAACATTAATGTAATAGCTTCTTAATTGCCCACTTGGCCACTAATCTGAGAGCAAGGTCCAAATAAAAACTTTAATCAGTACTAAGTGGTAGCCATTATCTGCTGACAAATGATAATTCAAATAAAATATTTTTTTTAAAAAAAGAAAGAGGACTATTTCTTAACAATAAACAGAAGTACAGAACAAAGAAATGGGGGCATTTTCTTTGGTGTTTTCACAATGCCAGAATCTGTAAGTTGACTTATAATCTAGAGTTTGGCATTGTCCATATGTCAAAATAAAATCAGAAGGGCCATAATGTAATGACCATCAGCAATGAGCTCCTTACCAACAAAGTCTATACGAGATCACATCAAGGCTACCAGAAAAAACAGAAATTTTGAAAATTGTTACAAAATGTTTCTGTTGTAAATTCCAATGTGTTAAAAATTAAGAAATGCTATACATATTGACAGTCTGGTTCGGTTTCAGATCAACTCTTTCCAGTTTAATACCAGAAGAAACCTAGTTGGATGATATTTCACCTTGCATACAAGTGATCTCAAGAGATTAACCAAAACAAGGAACAAACTTCCAACCAAAATAAATAAACTTATTTGACTGTTATCTGATAGGTTTGATTGACTCTGTATGCATCACTTCTGACTCTATAGATTTTTCACATTTCTTACTCAGATGTGTTTAATATTAATGACTGAGGAAGTAACTCCTCTCTCGACCAGACAAGAGAAGTAGAGCATAGTACCATGCCAAACATCTCGCAGTAAAATCACATTCATCAGACAATTTATGGTACATTAAACAGACGGTGTTCTTTTCAGGACTTCTTCATGGTGCTCATCCTCCAATTCCCTAGTTGTTAAGCTTTCCAAAAAGAAAATTGGTTTTACTAATTACACGATACAAGCTGGGTGTACTTAATTATGCAGAAAAATGGATGTGCACATCATATGGTTTCATTCTGGATATATAATTTCCGAACTATTAGATGCTTGTGAATATGATTTCCAAACATAATATATCATTCTGGTTGTGTTGGCTTACTATGAGTTTGGTGAACACCAAAGTACTTACAATTCAAATATTTGTAAGTTAAATCAGTCAAAAGCCAATGTTGGCCATCACCAACTTATGATTTTGCACATTATACTTTTGCTTTGATAAAATATTTCACTATTTTATCCTTAATATTTTTTTCTAATTTTTAAAGTATCTTTCCCAAAAGAGAACTCCTAACTCTCTCTTCATTTTGTAGCCCATTGTTCTTTCTCTTCTTTACTAGAGTACTCCTAAATTATAACATTTTATAAACTTCTTACGGATATTCTAATCATTCGAATAAAGGAACATTTTTTGTTCCAACATCCTAACACGTAACTATTCAATTATAAAATCAGCTCCAGCACTTAAAATTTATTAGTTATTTACAATCAACTAATTCAAACAGGCTCTGACATAGGGCTAATTCATGTAGTCTTAATTTATTTTGTAATTCAACCTTTAAAGATCTCATTTATCTCATTTGATTTATTTCCCACTGATAATTCTCTAAGAAAAATAATGGGGAAAAAAGATGCATACCCCTAATTAAATTCTCCTACTTATTTTATTGTTATGCTTATTTTATATGATTTATTTCTGAAAAACTGATAAAGTACAATTACAATCCAAAATACAGTAATAGCCACGGAGTCGAAGAAAAAAATTTGTTGTGCATGGACATATCTTGCACCTTTCCTCATTCTTTTACTTTTGTCTTGTTAAACTTCTGTAATAAATAACTTATAAACTATAATTGAGAAGAAAATCATCTTTAGACAATAATCTGAGATGCTCCTCAAATATATTAGACAAAGAGAAGACAGTATTGAGCAAGTACAACTCTTAATGAAATACACAAAAAAAAGAATCTTGATACAATAAGCCAAACTGATGGAGATCTCAACATCTTACTTAAATATCCAAGGATAAATATTACAAATTATTAATACAAAAGAACATACAACGAACAAAGCCGGTCATATTTGGAAACATAATTTTTTGGCAAAGGAAGTGAAAATCTTCAGATGAAGGATGAAAAGAGAGTTAATAGGTCATGGAGATGATGGGAAATGATTGATGATAATGATTAGAATGTTAGTAGGTTGGCGACGGGGGTGGAGGTGAAGCATAGGTGACGGATTGCTCGTATTTCTCAAATGGCGGCGGCGGCGAGGAATAGGTTGGTATTTGCTCGTAGTATGGTGATTGTTCATAGGTCTTTAGAGGACGTGGTGAATTGTAGGTCAAAGGTGATTGTTTGTAGGATTTTGGAGGAGGTGGAGGAGATTTATAGGAAGGACTAGATTCTGGGTAGTATGGTGGAGGTGGAGACTTGTGATAGGTTGCTGATTCCTCGTAGTATTTTGGTGGAGGTGGTGGAGATTTGTAAGATGATGGTGATTGTTCATAGTATTTTGGTGGGGGAGGAGGTGAGTTGTAGTACGAAGGTGATTGCTCATAGTATTTTGGTGGAGGTGGAGGTGACTTGTAGTATGAAGGTGATTTCTCGTAATAAGTTGGTGGTGGTGGAGGGGACTTGTAGTAAACAGGTGACTTGTAATATTTTGTTGGTGAAGGCGACTTGTAGTAATAACGTGTTGATGGAGTTGGCGACTTATAATACTTTGTGGGTGATGGAGATTTGTAGTATCTCTTTGATGGAGTTGGGGACTTGTAGTAATACTTAGAAGGAGAGGGTGACTTGTAATAATGATTTGAAGGAGTAGGAGACTTGTAATACTTTGTTGCAACCGGTGACTTATAGTAGTACTTTGAAGGAGTTGGGGACTTGTAGTAATACTTAGAAGAAGCGGGTGATTTGTAATAATACTTTGAAGGAGTTGGGAACTTGTAGTAATACTTTGTTGCAACCGGTGACTTGTAGTAGTGCTTTGAAGGAACATGTGACTTGTAATATTTTGCTGGTGAGGGCGATTTGTAATAAGCGTGCTTTGAAGGTGCTGATGATTTGTTGTAGTAGTGTGATGGGTAAGGTTTCTTGTAATAAGGAGTGGGCACATGATAGTTGGATGGAGATGGTGATTTGTAGTACTTGTTAGAGTTGTGAGAAGGTGAGGGTGAAGTATATTCATAAGAGTAATCAGCAACAACAGTGCTGGCTACTAAGCAAATTGCCAAAGCAACAGTTAGAAAAGACCATTTCCCCAACTTCCCTAAGTTTTCCATTTTGATTTGGAAAAAATTGTACCCAGAGAAGTGAAGGATAAACTAAGGACTTGTGTTGCATAATTGAGTAGAGAACTCTGGTTTTTATAGAGTAAAGTGAGACCCTTCTCAGCATTAATGTAACAGTATCTTAGTTGCCCACTCGCCCACTAAGCTGAGAGCAAGGTCCTAATAAATACCTGATCAGTACTAAGTGGGAGGCATTATCTGCTGACAAATGATAATTAAAATAAAAACAAAGAGGATCTATATACCAGAAAGTAGTTAAAAATAAATGGGGGCATTTTCTTTGTTGTTTTCTCAATGCCAGAATCTGTAGGTTGACTTATAGTATAGAGTTTGACATTGCCCCTATCTCAAAATAAAAGCAGAAGAAGAACAACAATTCAACGGCTATCAGCACTGGGCTCTTATCTATATAAGATCATGTTAAAGCTACCAGAAAACACAGAGATTTGAAAATTGTTACAAAATGTTTCTGTTCTAAATTTCCAATATGTAAAAATATAAGAACTGCTATACAATATACATATTGTCAGTTTGATTTGGTTTCAGATTAATTCTTCTCAGATCAACACAAGAAGAAACCTATTTAGATAATATGTCACCTCAAATACAAGAGATTAAACAAAAGAAGGTACAAAACTTTCAACCAAAATAAACAGGCTTATTTTACTGTTAACTGATAAGGTTTAAGTGACTTTGATTGTATTTATTTGGGTAACTAACTAGCTTCATCTTTTACACTTCGACTTGTAAAATAAAACTTCCACATTTCTTGCTCAGATGTGTTTAAAATTAACGAATGAGGAATTAACTCCTCTCCCTCTCTCAAGACCAGATAAAAACCAGACAAGAGGAGTAGAGCACAGTGCAAAAACATCTAGCTGCACATTCATCCGACAACTTATGGTGCATGAAGTAGACGGTGTTCTTTACACAACTTATTCAATGATGCTCCCCGTGATCATCCTTCTCGGGGAAAAAGCAAATTCCTATGGTCTCTTTTAGAATTAGCATATGAATTGCTTATTTGAAAAAAGCATTAATAGCCTGTAATTATACCTTAGCATTATATTTTTTTCTTTTTTCATGAACAAAGACAAGATAGAAGTAATCACATCAGGTAGAATTTGCACACAGATAGAGGACAAAAATAAAAGAAAAAATGGCATGGGATAGTAAAAGAAGATGGTTTGATCATGTCCTACTCCTACGTGGACACCAAATGCAGGGGTACACAACATTAAAACTGAATATGCTAAGGGGAATAAGGTAGACCAAAAATCATATGGAGGAAAATTGGCTTAAAGGATCTACAATCTCTTGGATTTAATACGAACTTACTATTGAATACAAGACAAGCTAATATTCATATAGGTGTGTGCAGTGAAGCCACTTAACTGAGGTGAAGTGAAAAACCTATTTCACACTGACATAACACGACTTGGTAGGCCGGTGTTTGACACGAGTCTTCTTAGTTTGGAGAGGGATGTGTACATGATAGAATAGGGATAAGTACAAAATTTAAAAATCTTTGTAGGTGGAGAACCCTTAATTCTATCTAAAAGATAAAATTAAACAGTATTACAACAACATACCCAATGTAATCCCAGGGTCTGGGAAGCGTGGTGTGTACACACCGTTAACCCTACCTTGAGACAAAGTAAAGAGGTTGTTTCTAGTAGACCATCGGCTCAAAGAGAAACATAACAAAAATCAAGTATGTAAAGCAAATACAGTAATGAAGAAGTCATACCGGAAACAATGAAGAAGAGAACTGTAGCAACAACACAAGGAAACAAGACAACACTCGACTATTCACTAACCTTACCTAATCCTCGACTTACATATCTTACTATCTAGGGTCTCGAACTCAGTAAGATACATATGTGTCACACCTCCTAATACTTCTTTCACCTACCTATACCTCTCCTTATAACCACCGTCCACCATAGTCAATCTCTCACACCTCCTCACTTACGTGCATCTCCAGTGAGGACTTATATAAGTATTGAAATGAAGAAAAAAAAGTACTATCGGGACTGAAATGGTGAATGGGGACTCATATAGCCGACCCTAACTAGTTGCCATTGAAGCATAATTGCTGTTGCTGATAGAGAAAAGGTCACGTAACCTAAATCCAGGATAAATGTATGCCAGAGTCCTCGAAGTCCGAAGAGCACTTACACTGAACATACACAATGCCAACTAAGGGAGACTATTGGCAGGGGAATGGAACTTAGGCATTTCAAAATTGAGAATAAAACAACGGAAAATGTACAAGTATTAGAATCCTTGACAATCCAAAATACTTAAAGCAGTTACCTTTACCCCTATAACACCTTGATAACAAATATGTACAGTCATATATAAACATGTGCAAATGAGGGGAATAAACGGATAAAATAAGCTCGAAACCAAACGAATGATTGAAATAGCTGAGAAAATTGTCGAAAGAGTAAAAAAGGCAAGGGAAAGAACCATAGGAGTAATAAGGAAGGAGCCACTGATGCAGCAAGCGAGGGAGCATTGACCAGCGGCGACCGGCGACGGGAACATCAGACGGCGGGAGAAGTTGAAATAGCACCGGTAATTGTAGTGTCCATTTTAAAATAATATTGGAAAACAATTTTCATATTTAGAAGGCAAATGGAGAAAATTAAATGAAAGTCGTCAAATTAAGTCTTTGATTTGATTTTTGGTGATAGATTGATCCAGAGCCGGTAAAATTATCTTTAAAATGTAACTAAGTAAATTTTGGATTAAATTAATATTTTTAAAATTTGCTAATCTTTTATAAAATACAAATAAGCATTTCATTTTTCAACTTTTATTATTCTATTTAAATCGTTTTTAAAATAAAAAGTAAATGAAAATATGATTCTATTGAAAAAATTGCAGGTGCCCAAATGATGATGAATGATTTCAAAGATTTACATATCAAAACAATGGTGTGTAACCCTAATCATTTATGAAATAATTTCAATTAAGAGCAAACAAAATCTAATCCACTGATTAAATTAGTTAAATTCGATTCAAGAAGAAGAAAAGAAGAAAGTTCATGGACGGGTAGCCAAGATCAATAATGTACGAAAAGAAGAAGAAAAAGATAAAAAGAACGGGAAGAAAGACAAGCAAACAATTAAGAACGAAGATGAAAAAAATATGACGAGAGGTGGGGGAAAATATTTTATTTCCCCTTTTGGTACAACTTGCTGGTGGCTTTCCCCAATTTTAATTTCTTCCAAAATTGATTAAATTAGCTTTTAGTTAATTTACGCTTTTAATCTTTATTTAATTCAATGGACCAAACTATCAACTTATAAATTTGAAAGCAATTCCACAATCCTTAATCATTAATCACATAATTGTCACAATCCTTAATCATTAATCATATAATTGTCACGTACATCAAATACTTAAGACTTATGTCACAACTCATTTATTTTAAAACATTATTATCACTTTTTTTTTTTATAAATCCCTAGTAATTATGAGCAGTTAACTTTATTGTATGAGATGTTATAAATTTAAAAACAAAATTATAGTGTCAGATTTCAACATCAAAAGATATTATGAAACAATTTTTAAATTTATAAGGTAAAAATAATATTTTGTATTATTTATTCCTGTATTATACTGTTAGTTGTAAGCTTTGTGGTGGATTAGTATTTGTTCTTTGTTTGAGATTATCAGAATTCATATTTATTTTTAAACATACTTATTTATTCTGAAAAATGAAAAAAATGGAAATACAAAACAACCTTTTTTTTTAATGAAAAGTGAAGATTATTGTGTTACATACTGTTAATCCCGGTATATTTATTCATTTTATAATTTCGCCTTTTCAGATCAATGCTATGGTCTTATGGCTTATTTCCCATGATAAATCCTTTCAGAAAAAGAATTGGAAAAAAATAAAATATGCCTATACGTAAGAATTCAGTCAACTAGAAAAAACAATATGAAACAAAGATGATACAGCATTAAACAAAATAAAATTCATGATAAATTACACCAAAATACAATGTTGATACAATAAATCAAATTGATGGAGACCACAAGAATCTTACTTAAATCTCCAAAGATAAATATTACGAATTATTAATACGAAAAGAACACACAACAATCAAAGCCGGTCATATTAGGAAGCATAAAAGAAAATGGATAACCCCAAAGGTGGGGGAAAATGATTGAAAAAAAATGGTTTTGACTACTAGTAATAGGTTGGTGGTGGGGGTGGAGGTGAAGCATAGGTGGGAGGGACCTCGTACTTCTCAGGTGGCGGCGGTGAAGCATAGGTGATAGATACCTCGTACTTCTCAGGTGGTGGCGGCGAGGCATACGTTGGTGTTTCTTTGTAGTACGGTGATGGTGGAGATGAATAGTATGTAGGTGACTGATCATAGGTCTTTGGAGGAGGTGGAGAAGATTTATAGGAAGGTGTAGATTCTTTGTAGTATGGTGGAGGTGGAGAATTGTAATAAGTTGGTGGTTTCTCGTAGTATTTTGGTGGAGATGGAGGTGACTTGTAGTAAACTGGTGACTTGTAATATTTTGTTGGTGAAGGTGACTTGAAGTATTTAGATGGAGTGGGTGATTTGTAATATTTTGTTGGAGAGGGTGATTTGTAGTAATAATTTATTGATGGAGTAGGTGACTTGTAGTACTTTGTTGGAGATGGGGACTTGTAGTACTTTGTAGGCGATGGGAACTTGTAGTAATACTTAGAAGGAACGGGTGATTTGTAATAATGCTTTGAAGGAGTTGGGGACGTGTAGTAATACTTTGTTGTAACGGGTGACTTGTAATAGTGCTTTGAAGGAACATGTGACTTGTAATACTTGGTTACAATGGGTGACTTGTAGTAATAATGTTTTGAAGGAACATGTGACTTGTAATATTTTGCTGGTGATGGCGATTTGTAATAAGTGTGCTTTGAAGGTACTGGTGATTTATAGTAATAGTGTGATGGATAAGGCTTCTTATAATAAGGAGTGGGCACATGATAGTTGGAAGGAGATGGTGATTTGTAGTACTTGTTAGAGTTGTGAGTAGGTGAGGGTGAAGTATACTCATAAGAGTAATCAGCAACAACAGTGCTGGCTATTAAGCAAATTGCCAAAGCAATTGTTAGAAAAGACCATTGTTTCAACTTCTGTAAGCTATTCATTTTGAACTGGAACCACTATACTTAGAGAAGGAAAGGACAGAACTAAGACTTGTGTTGCATAGTTGAGTAAGGAGCTCTGGTTTTTATAGAGAAAAAAATGAAACCCTTCTCAACATTAATGTAATAATAGCTTCTTAATTGCCCACTTGCTCACTAAGCTGAGAGCAAGGTCCAAAGAAAGACTCTTATCAGTACTTAGTGGGAGACATTATTTGATGACAAATAATACAAAGTAGTTAAGGACTGATTATTTCTCAATAATGCACAGAACAAAGAAATGTTCCTCGTTTTCTGAATGCCAGAATCTGCAAGTTGACATAATCTTAGTATTGAACATAATACAAGCCTAATATCCATATAGGTGTGTGCACTGAAGCCAATTAACTGCGGCAAAGGCCAAAGTGCACCTAGCACACGGCTTACATAACATAACTTGGTACACTTATGTTAGGCAGGTGTTTGACATGAGTCTTCTTAGTTTGAAGAGTAGGGACAAGTACAAAATTTAAAGAATCCTCATTGGTTGACAACCCTTATCTATCTAAAAGAAAAAAGTAAAATTATTAAATATTACAACAATAAATCCATTGTAATCCCACGATCAAGGGAGGGTATGTAGCCTAACCCTACCTTGATATAAGGTTAAATGGTTGTTTCTAGTAGACGCTGCGCTCAAGTAAAACATAACACAAATCAAGTATCCAAAGCAAATACATAAATGAAAAAGTCATATTGGTAACAATAAAGAAGAGAACCATAGCAACAACATAATGAAACAAGACAACCTAGACTATTGACTAACCTTCCCTAATTTTTGACCTTCGTATCTTATTATTTAGGGTCATGTAATCGGTAAAATGCAAACGTGTCATGTCTTATCTAATCATCTCTCCCAATAACTTATAAATAAGAAGTCATTGACGAGCAAGCGAGGTTGTATCGACCAGCGGAGACCGCCGATCGTCCCCAGAAATACCAGCCGGCAGGAGAAGTTAAATAGCAGCACCAATAATTTAGGTGTATCAATAATCTTTACTAATCTTAAAATAATATTGAAATACAATTTTCATATATTATTAAAAGGTAAATGCAGCATTTCTAATTGTAGATTTTTTCTTTATTTGAGATTATTAAAATTTATAATTATTGTTTAACTTACTTGTTTATTTTTGAGAATGAAAAAAGAAAGGGGAAATATATACCATCCATGTTTTTCAAAAAAGTGAAAAAAATTAAGTTATATTGCGCTAACTTTTGGTGGAGTCTTATTTGTCTTGTATTAAATAATTTCACCTTTTAAGATCAACAACCATATTATATCTTTTGACTTATTTTCCATCGATAAATATTCTTAGAAGAATAATGCATACGACTTAATTAAAATTCTCTATAGTTTTTTATTATTCTGTTCAATTTATGTATAATGTTATTACTTATTTTTCTTAAAAGCTGGTAAGTACAATTATAATCCATATCCAAAATACAACAATTTGTTGAAGAATCCATCCAAGATCCAACCATGACCATATTAATTTGCACCTTGTTGTGAAAGCTGAATATATAGAGAGTGAGGGAATCACAATTACTATATCTAAAGGTAGCTAACAAATAGTAAATGAGACAATAACAAAAAGAACGCAGAAATTAACGAGGTTCGGTAAACTTTTTTTTTTTGTCTACTCCTCGGACACAACCAATCAATATTTATTTCACTCCAAAAGAGTACAAGTGAAATAGTGTAAGAGAGAAAGAAGATTAAATGCCTTAAGAGATGAGAAGACAAGTTATTAAGAGCTACCTATTTATACGAGTGAATTCTTCCTATTGATGTCATCCATGACATCACAATATGTTAAAATGTGAAGATTTACTTGTGAAATCAATTATAATTCACCTATTATTCACCTACAAAAGGTGCTATCTTGACTTTTCTACCAATAAAGTATTATCTTCGAAACTGCCATATTTTCTCATTAATTCATTTTTGAATCTTATCAAATTTAACATACCTTTCCTCGTTTTTTTTGTTTTCTTGTTAAATTTTGTAGTAGATAAGTTATAAACCATTATTGAGGAGAAAATACTCTACAAAAATATTAGACAAAGTGAAGATAGTATTGAGCAAAGTAGAATCCTAGATAAATCACACCAAAATAAAATCTTGATACAATAAGCCAAAACAATGGAGATCTTACTTAAATCTCCAATGATAAATATTACTGCGAATTATTAAAACAAAAGAACATACCGCACACAAAGCCCGTGATTTTGGGAAGCATAAAAGGGAAATGGAGAACCCCAAAGTTAGGTAAAAAATGATTGAAAAGAGTGGATTTGACTATTTGTTTGAGGCGGTTATATACTTTGATAAAATTTTATTGAAAAAATTATAGAAATTAATTAGATTAGATTATGTTCAATTTGGTCGATTTAATTTTTCATATTCATTTGGTACTCCTAATAAATTTATTCTTTGTTCGAGATTTTATGAAAAAGAGTGGAAATAATTATTTTTTAAAAATGAAAAGTGAATGATTATTGTGTTAATTGCTGGTGTATTTATTCATCTTATATCAATCTTATGTCTTATGGCTTATTTTCCGTCGATAAATCCTTTCAGAAAAAGAACTGGAAACAAAACAAAATAATACGAATATGCCTATACGTAAGAATTCAGTCAACTAGAACATACAATATGAAACACAGATGATACAATATTAAACAAAATAAAATACATGATAAATTACACCAAAATAAAATCTTGATACAATAAATCAAATTGATGTAGACCACAAGGATCTTACTTAAATCTCCAAAGATAAATATTACGAATTATTAATACAAAAAGAACACACAACAAACAAAGCCGGTAATTTTAGGAAGCATAAAAGGAAATGGAAAACCCCAAAGGTGGTGGAAAATGATTGAGAAAATGGTTTTGACTACTAGTAATAGGTTGGTGGTGGGGGTGGAGGTGAAGCATAGGTGGGAGGAACCTCGTACTTCTCAGGTGGCGGCGGTGAAGCATAGGTGACAGGTTCCTCGTACTTCACAGGTGGCGGCGGGGAGGCATAGGTTGGTGTTTCTTTGTAGTATGGTGGTGGTGGAGATGAGTAGTATGTAGGTGATTGTTCATAGGTCTTTGGAGGAGGTGGAGAAGATTTATAGGAAGGTGTAGATTCTTGGTAGTATGGTGGAGGTGGAGAATTGTAATAAGTTGGTGGTTGCTCGTAGTATTTTGGTGGAGGTGGAGGTGACTTGTAGTAAACTGGTGACTTGTAATATTTTGTTGGTGAAGGTGACTTGTAGTATTTAGATGGAGTGGGTGATTTGTAATATTTTGTTGGAGATGGTGATTTGTAGTAATAGTTTGTTGATGGAGTAGGTGACTTGTAGTACTTTGTTGGAGATGGGGACTTGTAGTACTTTGCGGGTGATGGGGACTTGTAGTAATACTTAGAAGGAACGGGTGATTTGTAATAATGCTTTGAAGGAGTTGGGAACTTGTAGTAATACTTTGTTGCAACCGGTGACTTGTAGTAGTGCTTTGAAGGAACATGTGACTTGTAATACTTGGTTACAATGGGTGACTTGTAGTAATAATGCTTTGAAGGAACATGTGACTTGTAATATTTTGCTGGTGATGGCGATTTGTAATAAGCGTGCTTTGAAGGTGCTGGTGACTTGTAGTAATAATGTGATGGATAAGGTTTCTTGTAATATGGAGTAGGCACATGATACTTGGAAGGAGATGGTGATTTGTAGTACTTGTTAGAGTTGTGAGAAGGTGAGGGTGAAGTATACTCATAAGAGTAATCAGCAACAACAGTGCTGGCTACTAAGCAAATTGCCAAAGCAACAGTTAGAAAAGACCATTGCCCCAACTTCCCTAAGCTCTCCATTTTGATTTGTAACAAATTATGCTTAGAGAAGTGAAGGATAGAACTAAAGAATTGTGTTGCATAGCTGAATAGGGAGCTCTGGTTTTTATAGAAAAAAACAACAACATTAATGTAATAATAGCTTCTTATTTGCCCACTTGCCCACTAAGCTGAGAGCAAGGTCCAAATAAAGACTCTTATCGGTACTTAGTGGGAGACATTATTTGATGACAAATAATACAAAGTAGTTAAGGACTGATTATTTCTCAATAATGCACAGAACAAAGAAACTTTCCTTGTTTTCGCAATGCCAAAATCTGCAAGTTGACATATGATCTTAGTATTGAAAACATAACACAAGCCTAATATCTATATAGGTGTGTGAACTGAAGCCAATTAACTGCAGCGAAGTTCAAAACCTATTTCGCACCTAGCTCACGGCTTAGATAACATAACTTGGTACACTTATGTTAGGCAGGTATTTGACATGAGTTTTCTTAATTTGAAGAGTAGGGATAAGTATAATATTTAAAGAATCCTCATTGGTTGACAACCATTAATTCTATCTAAAAATCAAATTATAAGTATGAAGAGGTTGTTTGTGGTAGTAAAACATAACACAAATCAAATGAAAAAGCCATATTGGAAACAGTAAAGAAGAGAACTGTAGCAACATAAAGAAACAAGACAATTCGCTAGACTATTTACTAGCGTTCTATTCTAATCCTTAACCTTCGTATATTATTCCGTAAGATGGAAATGTTTATCCAATCACCTAACAGTAAACATAAACAACGCCAACTAAGGCAGACTGTTGGCAGGGGAATGGAATTACAGCAAAATATTTAATCCTCACCAAATTGAGAATCTAACAACAGAAAATGTACAAGTAGTAGAATCCTCAACAACCCAAAATACATAAAGCAGTTATTTTTAGCCATATAGCAGCTCGATAACAAATCTGCATTGTTATATATCAACGCTACTGTGCAAATGCAGAGGGAAAAGACAGAAACCAAACGAATGATTATAATAATTGAATAGCTCAGAAACTTGCCGAAAGAACAGAAAACGCAAGGTATAGACTAATAAGGAGGGAGTCATTGACGCAGCAAAGCGACCAGCGCCGGAAATATCAGCCGGCGGGAGAAGTTCAATAGCAGCACAAATAATTTAGGCGTATTTTTAACCTTTACTCCTCTTAAAATAATATTGTAAAACAATTTTCATATTTAAAAGGTAAATGCAACATTTTTTATTGTAGATTTTTTCCTTACTTGAGATTATTAAAATTTATATTTATTGTTTTAACTTATTTATTATGATAATGAAAAAGAAAGTGGGAATACCATCTGACTTATTTTCTGGTGGAGTCTTATTTGTTTTGCATTTTGTAATTTCACCTTTTAAGATCAACAACAATATTAATATATTATATCTTTTGACTTGTTTTTCATTGATAAATTTCTTTTGAAGAATAATGCATATGCCTAAATTAAAATTCTCTTTATTATTTTTTATTATTCTGTTTATTTTACATAATTTTATTTTCTTAAAAGGTGATTAGTACAATTATAATCCATATAAAAATTGAAGCATCCATTCATTACCATATGTTGCACCTTTCCTTTTTTTTTTCTTGTTAAATTTTGTAGTAGATTAGTTATAACTTATAAGCCATTGTTAGGAGAAAATACTCCAGAGAAATATTAGACAAAGAGAAGATAGCATTAAGCAAATTAGAATTCTCGATAAAATTACATCAAAATAAAATCTTGATACAATTAGCCAAAATAATGGAGATCTTACTTATATCTCCAAAGATAAATATTACGAATTATTAATACAAAAATCACACACAACAATCAAAGCCGGTCATTTTGGGAAGCATAAAAGGAAATGGAAAACCACAAAGGTGGTGGAAAATGATTGAAAAGAATGGATTTGACTACTAGTAAAAGGTTGGAGGTGGAGGTGAAGCATAGGTGACAGGTTCCTCGTACTTCACAGGTGGTGGCGGTGAGGCATAGGTTGGTGTTTCTTTGTAGTATGGTGGTGGTGGAGGTGAGTAGTATGTAGGTGATTGTTCATAGGTCTTTGGAGGAGGTGGAGAAGATTTATAGGAAGGTGTAGATTCTTCATAGTATGGTGGAGGTGGAGAATTGTAATAAGTTGGTGGTTGCTCATAGTATTTTGGCGGAGGTGGAGATGACTTGTAATATTTTGTAGGTGAAGGTGACTTGTAGTATTTAGATGGAGCGGGTGATTTGTAATATTTTGTTGGAGATGGTGATTTGTAGTAATAGTTTGTTGACGGAGTAGGTGACTTGTAGTACTTTGCGGGTGATGGGGACTTGTAGTAATACTTAGAAGGAACGGGTGATTTGTAATAATGCTTTGAAGGAGTTGGAGACTTGTAGTAATACTTTGTTGCAACTGGTGACTTGTAATAGTGCTTTGAAGGAACATGTGACTTGTAATACTTGGTTACAATGGGTGACTTGTAGTAATAATGCTTTGAAGGAGTTGGGAACTTGTAGTAATACTTTGTTGCAACCGGTGACTTGTAGTAGTGCTTTGAAGGAACATGTGACTTGTAATATTTTGCTGGTGATGGCGATTTGTAATAAGCGTGCTTTGAAGGTGTTGGTGACTTGTAGTAATAATGTGATGGATAAGGTTTCTTGTAATAAGGAGTAGGCACATGATACTTGGAAGGAGATGGTGATTTGTAGTACTTGTTAGAGTTGTGAGAAGGTGAGGGTGAAGTATACTCATAAGAGTAATCAGCAACAACAGTGCTGGCTACTAAGCAAATTGCCAAAGCAACAGTTAGAAAAGACCATTGCCCCAACTTCCCTAAGCTCTCCATTTTGATTTGTAACAAATTATGCTTAGAGAAGTGAAGGATAGAACTAAAGAATTGTGTTGCATAGTTGAATAGGGAGCTCTGGTTTTTATAGGGAAAAAAAATGACATTAATGTAATAATAGCTTCTTAATTGCCCACTTGCCCACTAAGCTGAGAGCAAGGTCCAAATAAAGACTTTTATTAGTACAAAGTGGGAGGCATTATCTGGTGACAAATAATAATTTATATGAAATACAAAGTAGTTATGGACTGATTATTTCTCAATAATGCACAGAACAAAGAGATGTTCCTTGTTTTCTCAGTGCCAAAATCTGTAAGTTGACGTATGATCTAGAGTTCGACATTGCCCCTATCTCAAAAGAAGAGCAAAAGAACATATATGCAACAGCTATCAGCAATGGGCTTCAGTACAAACAAAGCCTATGTAAGATCATGATCCACGGCAAAGCTACCAGAAAACACAGAAATTATGAAAAGTTAAAACACAATGCTTATGTAGTTACTGACAATAGTATGAATCAAGCAAATTAATAAATGACAAAACTCCATAGTTGCTAAAATTTCCAAAATTTGTTTTTTCCTCGTTACATAATACAAACTGGGATATACAAAATACAACAGAAAAATGAATGTGCAAGTCATATGGTTTTGTTCTGTACTAATCTACACAATTGCAGATACATGCTTCATAGCACTATGCCCATCGCGATATACTAGAATGATCTGTAGTATTCTAGTCATGTTTGCCACTTTGGTCCGTACTTGCCAATAAGACCATAATTGACAATAAGACTTTCACCAATAGTCATTGCAGGAGCAGAGTCCATCTTTAATATGGTGAAAACGATTAGAATCTCTAATGATTATCTCTCTTCCCTCCGCTACTGAAATGAACTTCATTGCATTGTGGCAATCCCCACATACTCGAAGATTTTTGAAAATTCTGATGGGTTTTTGTTTGGATGTGCTAATAAGACCAAAGGCCAAAGCAATTTTCTCACTGTGCTGGAAAAGATATTGCTCCTTTTGTTCATCCTCCACCTCGTGAAGCACCAAGTCTGTGTTAGGAACATAGCCTATCTCCTTTATTTTAAGTGCTACTTTATTTAATTTTTCATATATCTCCTTTGCTTTGGGATGCTTAGTGTCGCCTACATAAAACTTGTGGACACTATTTTCAGCTTCCATCCAACTACATCCAGCTTCCTTCACCATTCTCTTTTCTTTCATGTCTTTTCTGATCTTTGCTACCTCTTCCCATTGACCCCTCGAGGCATACAAGTTAGATAGTAAGACGTGTGCTGCTGGATCATTTGGCTCCTGTTCAAGAATCATTTCTGAGGCATATTTCCCCAGTTGTAGATTACCATGCACCTGGCAAGCCCCAAGCAAGGTGCGCCAAACAAGAGCATCAACATTCAAGGGCAGTGATTTGATAAACTGAACAGCCTTTTCAAGAGAGCCTGATCGGCCCAACAAATCAACCATGCATGCATAATGTTCCATCCTTGGAGTTATCCCGTGATCTATTGACATTGAGTCAAAATATTTCCACCCCTCATCAACTAAACCAACATGGCTACAAGCTGATAAAACAGCAATGTATGTGACTTCATTTGGTTTTATACCATCCTCAAGCATTTGATTGAACAATTCCACAGCTCTGTGGGCAAATCCATGTTTTGCAAAACCTGTTATAATTGAAGTCCAAGATATTACATTTCTATCTTCCATTCCTTCAAAAACTTGAAAAGCCGCCTCTATATTACCGCATCTAGAATACATAGATATCAAAGCATTGCAGACAGATTGGCTGGACTGGATCCCTGCTTTTAAGACCCGAGAATGGATCTGCTCTCCCTTTCCAACTGCACCTACACTTGCAGCTCCACTCAATAAACTAGCAAACGTGAAAGCATCAACCCCAACTTCAGAGTCTATATGGCTGAAAAGTTCAAAAGCTTCTGCAGAATCCAAACTCTTTGAACATCCATCAACTATTATGTTATAAGAAGCTAAATTCTTCTCAAACAGAAGTTCGAAAGCTTTCCGGGCTTCTTCCATCCTACCAGACTTGGCATACATGCTAATTAGAGAGTTGGCTACACAGTTCACAGATGCAAGACCCAATTTCACTGCATGATTATAGATCTGTTCGCCTATAGCAGGATTCGAAAGATTTCCACATGCCTTTAAAAGACTAGAAAATGTAAAATGGTTTGGCTTAACTAGACCATCTATCATCCTACAGTACAATTTTATAGCTTCCATATCGTAGTGTCCTCTTTGCACATATCCTGTTATAATAGCAGTCCAAGACATGACATTATGATCAGCCATCCGATCAAAAACCTTTCTTGAATCATCCATGGATCCATCCATCGTACTTTTTGCATACATGTCCACCAAACTGCACCCGACACAAACATCAGCAGACAACCTAGACTTAATCACCCCACCATGCAGTTGCCTCCCAAGCGCAGACAACCCTGGCTCAGCACAAGCTGATAAAACACCACTAAACGTAAACCTATCAGGGACAAATCCTTCAGAAACCATTTCCAAGAACAGTCTAACAGCATCTTTTGAAGCACCAAGTTGTGAAAATCTAGTAATCATCAAAGTCCAAGTAACAAGATTCCTCTCAGGCATTCTATCAAACACTTTCTTAGCTGACCTCAAATCACTAAACCCTTTAGCAAACAAATCAATCAGTGCACACCCAACACAAACATCCGACTCAAAATATCCAGTTTTAATCGCAAAACCAAATATTGCCAACCCAACCCACCCCAACTCCGCGCTACAACATGCCTGAATCACCGCAGAGAAACAGAACTGATTTGGGTACTCCCCAAACTCCACCATATCATAGAAAGTAAACACAGATTCCAACTCCATACCACAATGAGCATAGCACGAAATCATTGCACTCCAAGAAACCAAATCCCGCTTCTCACCCATGCTCTCGAAAATCTTTTCAGCAGTTTCCCAACTACCCATTTTAGAATATAAACTTATCAACGAGTTAAGAACAATGGTGTCCGGTTGGATTGGCGAATCATTGAGTTTAGAGTGTAGAAGTTGTCCAATTTGGAAATTTCGGGTCCTGATGCAAGATTTGAGGAGAACAGTATAGGAGGTGAGGTCAGGGTTAAAACCCATTTGAGAAATTTGATCAAGCGTCGAGATTGCTTGCTTAAGATTTCCACCATTGGCTTGTCGAATCAAAGTATCCTTCAGAGCTTCGAAATCAGGGTTCCTAATTCGACGGGATTTGGAAGAAGGAGGGATGAATTTGGCGGGAGAGGGAAGAGAGAGAGTTATCATTATCTATAACGGTATTCTGGCTTCGGTGGTTCCCATATTGGACCTTATAACACATCTCCGGTTTTATATTTGGACACTTAAATAGAGAATAGGTTTTTCAATCACAATTTATTTTTACTCTCCATTTCACTTTTTTATTGTTTGGTTATTATTTATCTTTATTAATATTTGTTATTCACATATTATAAAGAGCAACTTTCATAGCAAACACAAAATTGTATGTTATAGCAAAGTTTGCATAATTGCGCTCCATAATAAATATATATATACATATACAATTGAAGTGAATTGTATAAAACGAGAAAGAGAGAAATTATATACAATTTGAATTTGTATAAAACGAGAAAGAGAGAAAGGCAAAAGACACTTGGGCAGGAACATATTTGTATTATACAATTATAAGTGTATAAGACAATTATATACAATTTGAATTTGTATAAAATGAGAAAAAGAGAAAGGCAAAAGAAACTTAGGCATTAAAATATACAATTGAATCGAATTGTATAAAACGAGAAAAAGAGAAATTATATACAATTTGAATTTGTATAAGAGAAAGGCAAAAGAAACTGGCAGGGAATATTTTTATTATATAATTACAACTGTATAAGACAAAAAATATATGTATTTGCATGTGTATATATAATTTTCTATCGCTTTATACAAACAAAAACATAATTTATACATTTCGTATTTCGTTTATGTTTGTATAAACAAGAAAGACGAGGGTGGCGAGCGAGATTAGGGAGAGTGGTGAGCGAGATCCGGGAGAGGGCAGAGCGAGATCCGGGAGAGGGGAGAGAGAGGAACAAAAATATATGTATTTATATATAATTTTCTCTCGCTTTATACAAACACAAACGCATTTTATACATTTGTGTTTGTATAAAAAGCGAGAGAGGCAAGCGAGACTGCCACCAAATGAGAGTGGCGAGCGAGATTCCACCAAGGATAGTGGCGATAATAGTTATAGTTTGCTATAGGTACAACTAAATCGAAGTATATTTATAGCATTTAATTTGAATTAATAATTTGCTATTATATACAATTTTTCTTATTATAAACTATATAAGACTATTGATTAAAAGTTCATTTTGATTGGTTTAAAAGCTAGTCAAATCTATTTTTAAGTCAGTTTTTTACTATGTAGTATTTGACAAATATAAAAGATAATTCAAAATAAGCTAAAAATGACTTAAAATAAGTCAGAAACAAAAGTAAGTTTCCCTAGTTTTTTACTCCCTCCGTCTAGTTTTGTTTGTCATGGCTTCTATTTTTAGAGTCAAACTGTAAAAACTTTGACTAACATTTTAAGATGTATTTTTCCATCATATTAATATGCAAAAAATTGTAATTTACAGTACTTTTCGTATAGTTTTAGAATATCGAATTCTTTTTGTTTAAAATATCGAATTATTATGATCTAATTTACCTTTGGAAATTAGTCAAATTAACTGTAGATTAGCGCAACATGACAAACAATTTCGGACGGAGGGAGTATTTTTTTACTTGAAAGTCATATCAGTTAAACTTTTTATTTTTTATTTAAAACTATTTTTTTTAAGTCAATCCAAAACAGGCTCTAAATCTCTATTATGCGTTATTATTTTTTAATGTAATATAATATTTAAAAAATATATTATTTAATATATACCACTTTCATCTAGAATTAATAATTTTTTAATATTTTTTAATTTTCTTCAATATAGATATATATAAAATTTAAAATTATTATTATTTTCATTATAAATAATGC